AAGTTCATTTTAATTGTTTTGTTCATTATATTTGTGTTCTTTTATCGCGTCTTTTATATACAATTGTTATTTCTGATTTGGGTAATGCAGTCACTTTTGTATTGGCATTTTTAATTTGCGTTTACAGTATTTTTTTGTGTGTGTGTATGTGTGTGTGTGCATATATTTGTGTGTGTGTGTGTGTGTGTGTGTGTGTATGCGTGTGTGTGTGTGTGTGCGTGTGTGCGTGTGTGTGTGTGTGTGTGTGTGGTGTGTGTGTGTGTGTGTGTGTGTGTGTGTGTGTGTGTGTGTGTGTGTGTGTGTGTGTGTGTGTGTGGTGTGTGTGTGTGTGTTCATATACCCATATACTTTTATTTGTAATTCTGCAGACTATTGCAAAATGCACCACTTACATACATGACAGAGAACAGAGACGCACATACACATAAACACACAGGTTTATTTACCCGTTTATTGTTTATTCACTTATTTATCCTGTTTTGCCTTTTAAATGGTAATGCAAAAGAAACAAAAGATTAAGGGATACTGTTTAATTATGCAGTAATAAGATTATTGCTAGTCACCATCACAAGTCACAGGTAGGAACAGTAAATGGGCCTACAGATAAATTCATCTTAGTTTAAAATAAACACATACGATTAAGTACACCTTCACAACCATACGCTTTGACTGGATTCATGAAGTAAGTGTGTGTGTGCGTGTGTGTGTGTGTGTGTGTGTGTATGTGTGTGGTGTGTGTGTGTGTGTTTGTGTGTTCGTGTGTGTGTGCGTGTGTGCGTGTCTGTGTGTGTGTATGTGTGTGTGTGTGTGTGTGTGTGTGTGTTGTGTGTGTGTGTGTGTGTGTGTGTGTGTGTGTGTGTGTGGTGTGTGTGTGTGTGTGTGTGTGTGTATTCACGTGAGTGTGCAAACTCTGAACAACTATTAACTAGCCTAACTACACCCGTGAGGTGAAGAAAAACAACGTTCCGAATCTTCTACTGTTTCGCTTTGGTGCTTCGGTCACTCAGTTTGAAATTCGAGAGGAAAACAAACTTAAAAATAATTCGTGAATTATGGAGAACATGAAAGGAAATTGGAAAACAAAGTTATTTAAGAAAAAAAACTTCGTATTAAGTCAAAAAATATAGGTTTATACTATTTTTTGTTTAGGCTTGTATATACTCTTTGTTTACTGTTTTCGATTCACCGTTATTTTCAAACGCGTTCGAATCCTCAACGTGCGAGTCTTATGAACAGTCAGTCTTTTTAAATAAAATTTCACTTGAAGCCATCTCCTATTGACACTTAGACAAGGCCAAAAAAATAGCTTGATTTTTGAAGGAAAGAATATGGTACATAGATTCTTAACCGAAAGGAAAGCAAAGTGATTTATGATTTTACAAGAGCGCAAGCCATCCATTTTTTTATTCAAAACTTCAACTTTCTACTTTATAATAATAGAAAATCGCAACATGTAAAATAGTTTATTTCAAAAAGTCAAATACAAGCACGCTGTACAGCATTCAACAATATGACATGCCATTTCAAAAAAATAATAAAAAATAAAACAATAAAAAATGGATAATTTGGTTCGTCATTGAGCTTAGCAATTTTTCTACACTTCGTTTCAATAATCATACTGTAGGGGAAAATGATATGCAATTATAATAATGGCATTGATAATTAAACCGAGATAATACAAAAAATCATAACGGATTAAGTCTTCTTAACTTTGACAAAGATAATAGCGATAGTAGCTCATGATGATGATGGTGATGACAGCAAATATGATGATGATGATGATTAATTCTATACAGTAATGACGATAATAATAATAACAATAATTATGATAACAATAATAATAATGAAAAAGTTATCAATGACTATAATAGTTAATAAAAATAACAATGATAGTATTAATAATAATAATAATTATAATAATAATTAATTGTAATAATAGTATTAGCAATAGTAATGATGATAATAATAATAATAAGAAGAATTATATTAATGATAATGATACCAATAATAGTAACAAAAATTATAATAATAACAATAATGATAGTAATATCAATAATGATAATAATAATAACAATAATAATAATGTAAATAATAATAATGATAATAATAATAACAATAATAATAATGTAAATAATAATAATGATAATAATAATAATAATAAAAAAAGTAATGATTATGATAACAATAATGATAGTGATAATGATAACGATGACATGAATAACAGTGTTGCTCACAACAGTAATAATGATAATGAAAACGGTGATGACAATAGCTAGAAATATTTTGATTTCATTCAACTTACTATTATTGTTAATGATAGTAATATAGACAAGGCAATGATGAGTTATAAGGATAATGATGCTAGCACTGGTAACAATAATGCTGTCAATAATGCTAATAAAGAAAGCTGTAGTAATGATGATGATGATAATAATAATAATAATAATAATAATAATAATAATAATAATAATAATATAATAATAATAAATAATAATAAAAT